ATTTAACCAATTACAAATTACATAATAAAGACATTATGGCAAGATGAATCTCATACTAGCACCGCTTGGACGACCACATCTTTCGTGCTTTGATCAATTTTTATCCATGACTTCACGCTCTGAAGAGGGCACAACCATCTAATTTGAAGGCCCAACTCATTCGTCGCTGGGGTGGCATTCCCTCCTGTGATTGCGTTTAACACCCGATTGACATAGACGTGTAATTTCTCTCCATTTTTCCTAGCAATTTTTTTCTGCACGCCTTTGCCTAATGTACGTCCTCGAACACGAGTTGACCTCATTTTCCCTGGTACAAAAAGGGGAAGGTAGTCAACATTACAAACAAAAAAAAACCAAAATTTTTTTAAACAACTAAATAGAATGCTCTTACCCACTCCACCTGGTTACGTCTCCTCCACCACAGTTTGTGTATCATCTGGTGGTTGCGTCTCATCAGAGAACGTCATCGGGGTGCTAATCTCCTGTGCACAGGCTTCAAATGTTGATAGTACGCTGCCACTTGTTGCTCTCTTACGTCGCCCCGTCTTGACTCCCGAAACCATTGTACCTACATTACGTAATAAATGTACCTGAGTAATAAACATCGCATACATTAGTAGTGTAACTGTTGCAATAATGACACAACAATGTCTACTCAATTATAAATTGCTCGCTAATCAATGGTAACTAATAAATTAAGAGAACATGATGATGATGATACAAAAACAAACTTCTCAATTGTCCATTGTTCATTTAATATACTCATTACCCCAACAAATTTTGGAATTATTATTAACAACAAAATTTGTAATAAATTGTTGTGGCCTGCAATAACAAACCATTGATAAGAACAGCTCAAGGACAACATCAGTTTGTTTGTATGGCATTACTCTTTTCATTAGTATCCATAATTCTTACCTTAGGAATTTATTCAGGGCCCTAGTACTATGAATTCTGATGACTAGTCAGAAACTTTTGCTGCTATGTGTAATTCAGCCATGTAGAAGCTAGTATTCTCCTATGGGATCTGAAGAACCAACAGATCAATTGAAAGGAATGGACTGGAACAATATTGGTGATTCCATCCATAATGAGCCCAGTGCAGGGCCTGTTACTAAGAAACGGCTTCCAAGAAAGGTTAGGCAAATCCCAGATTGTTATTTTCTTCCTCGGAGATCATTACCCTCTGCAATTGCCTTTTACGGGGCATGGATTGTTGCTGGAGTTGGTGCAGAGATGCTGGCAGAAATTTGGATAAACAAGAAGGTCAAAGGTATGCCCTTCATTAGCCTCAGGATGTGTTTGGATTTTGGATTTGGAAAGGGATTTGTGGAGGGAAAGGTAATGTGGAGAGAAGCATTAATGAACTAACTGTAATATAGCCAATAATGAACATTACCCTTCCAATCTTTAGAACAAGGATCCCGAAATTCTCTGTCAGCCCTCAACTGTGCTCTTCTTCAATAATTCATTATACAATTTAAAAGTGCCCAACTGAGCTAACAATTATACAATATTCTGATTTAAACATCATGGTAATTGAAAATTGAAAGGTTTGTTGACATATTGAAGACAACCTGTAGTAAGGAAATAACGTAGTTAATGCCTAACAACTTACCCAGGTGAAATGCTTCCCACAGCCAAAACTACTACAGAAATGCTCCCAATCAAGTATGGCACAAAGAAGCCCCAATCCTATGTGACAATTACATGTGGATAAGAATGTTAGTGGATGTGAAAATGCCTCAATTTCCTTCCATTCTCTTTACAAAAAAATAAAATAAAATGTATTAGTCTGACAGCCTAACCATAATACACATTAGTGCAAAACAAATATCTTTATCCATTACCCACTCTCTGTAGAACATTAAAGACATTAGAATCATTACTCACATTAAAACATATCAAAAGTCACTAAAGCAGCCATCTCATAAGAATGGAATGAAAGAAGCTTCTATGAGCATAATCCACAGCTACAATTGTACTTCTTTTATCCTTTGTTCCTTGAAACTTACAGAAAATAAACAATAGAAAGGTTAAAAAAAGAGAAATTCAGAACTCTACATAATATGAATTTGTAATTAACCAGTTAAACTGAATTAAACAGATGTACATTATTGAATTAAACAATAAAGTTTTGAATTAAAAGTTGCCTGCATCACTGAATTAAACAGTTAAACTACATATTTTCATAACAAGTACATTAACGAATAAAGTTTTCAAAGCAGTAAACAGATGTACATTATTTATGTACATTCATGCATAGATTTGTAAAACCATAGCAAGAGAATCAATGGGAATAGGAAGTAGAAGCATGTGTTGGAGAACAAAAATGAGACTGAGGCACATGCGAATACTGTCTTCTTAACCTGTGTGGGAGGATAAGCAGTAGGGTAGTCTGAGGGAAGCACATAAGTAGGCTGAGAAGTAAGCCTGTGACGACCAGTGGTGAGGTGGCTGAGATGCAGGACAAGGCTGAACTGATGTGGACAAATGCTACGGAGGGAAAACAGTAGTGGTAGGTGAAGAAGTAGGCTGATAGGAAGAGGATATCAAGGTAAGGGAGGGAGACCAAAAGAAGGACAGTAGAGAGGACAGATGAGGGGTGGGGAGAGAAGTAATAGAAGAAAAGGGAAAAGTAGACTCTTGAAACCTAACATGCCTAAATAAGACAATTTTACCAATAAGAAGGTTGAGGCATCTATAGCCTTTGACAGAGGGGAGGTAATTGAGAAAAACACAAGGCTCAGATTTAGGGGCTAATTTATTGGATGAGTAAGGCCTAAGCCAAGGGTACCACACACACACACACACACACAACTTCATCTCTTTTTTGTTTTGGGAACAATTGATGCTTTTACGGCTTTGGAATTTCTTGAAAATACTTATTTAAAAAAAAAAATCATAGGATGAGTGTTGGTCACCATCTTACCCTATTGGTGGTAAACATTCATGTACCTAGATAATGGTACCATGTGTAGTTCCAAAGGATTTACAATTGGGTTTCATTAATCTTCAACTTAGTTGATTAACTGTCCATATAACTTCATCTTGTTGATTGACTGAATATCATTGACAGACAGGGTGGTTATGAACTATTTTCCAGGAGCCACCAAACTGAAAGTCACAGAACAGGAAAGTAAGACAAAGGGAGCTTCTCTGAGTTGAATTTCAAGCATCAGCTAGGCCTGAAAAATGATATCATATCTACTAGGCTTGAAATGAAGGCCATCATTTTAAATGTTTCCACCCAAGTGCAGGGATACATAAGTGGAGACCCGAAGTTAATTGACACCAATATATATATATATGTATATAATATCAGCAAAATTATAGTAAACTAAAGGCATTAAGAAAAGAAAAGATCAGCCTCAGATAATGAATGGCCAAATAAAGTTATAACAAAAGAATGTAGCACATATATCTACTATCTTGTCTTATACATAACACGTACGTGAAGATTGATGTATCCACACAGCATTGCATCTTATTTTAAGGATTTCCTACAACCGCATGCCAGTAAGGAATTGAACTGTTGCTCTATTAATTAAAACACACTGTTTGTAAATGTTCTTTGCAAATCTCCCATCAAGAAAATAGAAGTCCATTGCAGTGCCAACTAATAATACTAATTTAGGTTAGGAACTTAGGACAGAACAACTGTATATCTAAATGACCTCAAAAGTAATAGCAACTAGATGGTTGATTTGCTTCACAAATTGTGTGCACTTCAGGAAAAAATATAACATGCTCAAAATTTTGTGCAAACACATAGTAAAAAGAATCAAAGTGGCCCCTTGAGAACTATTCCGGGTGAAATTCCATCTTGATCCCATAGCCACGCAGTCTACTTAGCTTAAAAGAATGTTAGCTTAAAAAAATTGACACCAAGCAAAATCTAACAACATAAAGTAATTGCAAAGTAGTATTTCGAAAGAAAAATGTAACAACCAAACAGCAGCACACAGCACGTTATAGAGACAGAGCAGCACACAACAACGAACTGTCAAACTCAGCAAACAGAGACAGAGCAGCTGTGCAAATCTGCACAGATTGTGGGAAAAGCAGCCACACAGCACAGCTGTCCGAATGGAAAATCTAAACTAAGTATGAATTTGATTTTCAATTTGCTCTAACAGTTCATAGAAATCGTAGAGGAAATTAAAAGTACAAGGCTCAAATTACATGAAATTCAAGAGTAGGCATGAAATTCAAATTACAATTTCATCAATATTCTTAATTACCCCCGTGACATCTACAAAACAACCCGAACGAAGAAACAAACTGAGTTAAAACTCTAGGTCTGTATTTGTATCAAAATCACTTTCCATCTCATCTTCTTCGTCATCACCCGAGATTGTTAGTTCATCGTCGTCATCGCAGATGAACGCATCATCCATAACACCCTCCGGTTGTACACACTTATTGGACTGAGAAACTTCCATTGAAATAATTTGCAGTTCAATGTCATCCCGACGTAAATCAACAACATCATCAATAGGCTCAGTTGGTACAACAGTACTATTTTCATCATCTTGCAACACTTCATCAAATTCTGGCACATCCAGCTCTAGCACAGCCCAAATTCGTCGATGTTGAAACTTTTCTACGACTCACCAATTCGGCCCTAACTTTGTATCAGGAACATAGAAAACTTGTTGAACTTGGCTTGGGAATACAAACGAGTCATCTTTATATCATCAACTTCTTATGTCAACAGTTGTCACATGTGGTTCGACGCGCAAAGTTCGACTACTACTGGTGTTATACCATTCACATTGGAACAAAACAACCCGATGTCCAAGCAAATATGTCAGTTGCCACACTTTACAAAGGTAGCCATAAAACTTTATCAACTGGGCTTTGTGGTCGCCTTCCACTACCAACCCACTATTTTGACATTTACGACGGTTATCACGGTCGATAGTATGGAATCGAACGCCATTACAAATGCATCCTGAATATGTATTCACTAAGGCATTAGGTCCATTGGCTAATGATCACATCTCATCGGTTGCTTCGGGTGAGTTGTCATTTCGCAATTGGTTCATCTACACAAGAAAGTATGTTATGTCAATTCAAACTTAGAATAATTCAACGTTATCTCCACACTTAACAGTAAAGTCTTCATAATCTTACGCGATGTTTGAACCATTTAGGGAATTCTTTGCATTGTCGCGTTGCAATGTTGCATGAACTTCCATATTTTTGTTGTAACACGAGCTTGTGTTCCTTAGTTAATACAATGTAAGTCATAAGTAATTGGAATAATGAAGACTTTAAAAAATAAAAACCATGTAGAAAAGGTATGTTGCATATATGATGAAGAAGCATACTCTAGATATTCGTCTACTTCCAAACTATTGTGTAGGACAAACCAATGAGCCAATTCGCGGTCAGCTACGGACAGATCAATTGCCCTTGGGAGTTGACCAAAAGGACGAAGATTTTGAGTGAAAATCGCCAACCCCGGGCCATTGTCACCTCCATCGTAGTTCCTTTCTTCCCGGTTAAACACCGTTTCAACTCCATGCAAATACATTGAACAAAACATCGTACACTCTTTGCTCTTTCGATATGTAGGCCTCCGCAATTGATCCTTCTGGACGAGCTTTATTGCACACAAATCCTTTAAGAAGACTGAGCATCCTACATGTAAACGAAGCCGTGATCGTCAGTATGTTCATATTGAACTATAATTACAAAAAAAAAGTTCTGACTCGTTATACCTCTCAATAGGATACATCCATCGATATTGAACAGGACCTCCAAGCCTAGCCTTGTAAGGTAAATGAATTGCCAAGTGGACCATGACATCGAAAAAAGCAGGAGGAAAAATCTTTTCAAGCTTACAAAGTATAAGTACGATTTGTTCTTGCAATTTCTCCAAATCAGTTACCCTTAATGTCTTTGAGCACAACTGTTTGAAAAAAGTTCCAAACTCAAACAACGTGGTCCCAATCTCGGTAGGAAGGTATCCTTGCAGTCCAATGGGAAGAAGTCGTTGTAGAAGGACATGACAGTCATGACTCTTGAGGCCAACTAACTTACCACCTTCCGCCGTGACACAATTGGATACATTTGTCGCATAGCCATCAGGATACTTAACTGATTGCAAGAAATCATAAAACCCTATTCGTTTTACTGGGGACAATGTGTACAATGCCGGAGGCTTCTGCAAAGAGCCATTTGCATGCCTTATCAAGTGTAACTCCTTTCGTATTCGCATGTCCTCCAAATCCAAACGTGCTTTGTCGGTGTCCTTGTTCTTACCATCAATGCTCAATAGTGTCCCAAGCAGATTGTCACATATATTCTTCTCTATGTGCATGACATCAAGGTTATGTCGAAGCTTAAGTGTTTTCCAATAGGGTAGGTCTGACTCTTGAGGTCAACTAACTTACCACCTTTCGCCGTGACACAATTGGATACATTTGTTGCATAGCCATCAGGATACTTAACTGATTGCAAGAAATCATAAAACCCTATTCGTTTTACTGGGGACAATGTGTACAATGCCGGAGGCTTCTGCAAAGAGCCATTTGCATGCCTTATCAAGTGTAACTCCTTTCGTATTCGCATGTCCTCCAAATCCAAACGTGCTTTGTCGGTGTCCTTGTTCTTACCATCAATGCTCAATAGTGTCCCAAGCAGATTGTCACATATATTCTTCTCTATGTGCATGACATCAAGGTTATGTCGAAGCTTAAGTGTTTTCCAATAGGGTAGGTCGAACAAAATGCTTCTTTTTGTCCAGTTCGGAGTTAGATTTTCAGTCCGTTGTCTTTTTTGGTTGGTTGGATGCTTTCCATACGGCCTGTACGTCCCCAAATTAATTTGCTGCAGTATTTGTTCTCCCGATAACTCCACAGGTTTGGACTGATTCTCAATTTCATCGTTGAATAGCTTACTTCTACGCCAATTATGGTTCTCAAGTAAGTACCGTCGAGCACCCATATACCCAATCTTACTTCGCAAACTCTGAGATGATGCATCGATGTTACAATTAGGGCAGGCCAGGTAACCTTTTGTACTCCAACCAGACAAGGAACCATATGCAGGGAAATCGTTGATGGTCTACATGACTGCTGCATGCATTGTAAATATTTGGCCGTTTGAGGCATTATATGTTTACACACCATGCTCCCACAGATTAGTTAACTCTTCTACTAATGGTTGCAAGTAAACATCGATGTCCCTTCCAGGTGCGGATCGTCCGAGAATAAGCAATGACATCATGACAAATGGATCTTTCATACACTTCCATGGGGGTAGATTGTAAGGCATTAAGATTACGGGCCACATGCTATATGATGTACTCATATGTTCGAATGGATTGAAACCATCCGTGGCAAGCACTAGCCGTACATTCCGAGGATCCGCAGAGAACGTAGGATGCAGCCTATCAAGGTCCTTCCATGCCTCACCATCAGCTGGATGTCTCAATACTCCATCATCCAGTCGCTTATCCTTGTGCCATCTCATATATGCAGTTGTTTTTTGGACATGTACAATCTTTTCAATCTCGGTGTCAAGGGAAAGTACCTCAAAATTTTGGTGTGGAATTTTTTTACCCGTCTTGTCGTTCAACTTGTATCTAGACTCCGTACATGTAGGGCAATTCTCCAATGCGGCGTTGCCCTTCCAAAATAAAGTACAATCATTCTTGCATGCATGAATGACCTCATATCCCAAACCCAACTCACGTAAGAACTTTTTCGCTTCATAAAGGGTCCATGGAACATTTTCATCACACTTTGGTAGAATGTCTTTGAAAACTTGCATAACCATATCGAAAGATTTGTTGCTCCATTTATTGTACACCTTCACGTGAAGCATCTTAATTACAAAGGACAAGATGGAAAACTTTTCACACTCTGGATATACTTGACGTTGAGCATCATCGAACAACTTCATGAACTTAAACAAATTGTGCCTCTCCGAACTAGTACGTTCTCCGTCGATAGGATCATCCATGAGACCACTCATGTAAATCTCTTGTAACATGGTTGGAAGTTCATCCACATTTTCGTGATTGGTTGTCATTCCAGCTCAGTCGGTTTGAGTATCATCGTTTCGCATAGTAGGATGACCACGAAATAGGGGGACACGTTCCCCGTGGTGGACCCAAGTGCGATAAGAACATGCGATTCCTCTTCGAATTTCCTCATCGATCAAGCAATCATACAATATTTACAACTTCGAATTATTTGCTGAAAACTAAAGCTGTAACATTCTACTAGTTGGTTTTGCTTGTGTAAGTTTGCCATGGATTTGACTGGTATGAATCATACTTAGCCCATGTTTGTTTCCAATCTATATCGATGGAAACCAGATGGATTTGTTTTAGGGACGGAGCCAGGATTTTTGATCCCTTGAGGCAAAAAACATGCATCAAATTATGTTCAGTCATCTTATCTTAGATTAGCCCATCTTATAATCATGAACATGACATAATAGCAAGCTTGAATAAAGGCATATACATTCCATGATGCTTTAAACTTGAGAGTTCTTAAAATCTACAGCAACCTATATAGCAGCAGCAGCAGCAACCTATGTACATTATATGACACATAGTAATCTTCATTCACATATGCTATTTAAAGAGAGTTCTTAAAATCTGCTCTGTATATACAGCAACAGAAGTTTATTTAGCAGCAGCCTATAATAGTGTTTCATTTTGTGTTTATAATATAGGTCCATCTGCAAAGCGAGTACGAGGTCCAACTAGGGGTAAGAACAGTAGTAGACTCATGAGCCAACATGGTGGGAAGAAGCTTTTTGTTGGAGTTTCTATTGAGAGGAGGACATTTGTGGGGCTTAATGCCACCAAGGCCGCTAACGAATTGGGGGCACAAATTCGATTGCAAGCCCCATTGCAAGGAACAAAAAATTGGGAGGACGTTCCACCAGTCATTCGAGCAGCTATTGTACAATCCTTGCGGGTAATTTAATTTTTATAGTTGTTGAGATTGAAGTAATTAATATATAAGATGTTTAATTTTCATTTTATGTTTAATTGGGACAGGATAAGTTTGAGATTGAAGGATATGATGAGAGTCCACTTCCACAAGAAATCATTGACACAAAGGCCACACATTTGTTTAAAGGCTGGCGATATCATATGCATGAACATTACAAAGAGTTGGTGAAAGAAGGTACAGATCCTTATAGTAAACCATTTGTTGGGGTGAGCGAAGAAGATTGGAGATACATGATTGATGAAGTGTTTCTTGGTGACACACACAAGGTAATTAACTTAACAGTCATGGATGTTTCTTTTAATTGCACTACAATGAATAACTCAAAGGTCCCAAGTTTCTTTGAAATTCAAATAATATACAATTATATATGAGACAGAGTAAGGAAATTGCAGAGATGGAGGGAAAGATATAGGAACCATGCTTGGATATTGATTTTTAAGTTAATATTTCTATTGCATTGTAGAAACAGTCAACAAGAAATATAGCCAATAGGAAAAAGTTACCCTATAATCACACCATGGGTTCAAGGTCATTTTCAGCAGCAATCTCAATTGAGGTAACATATTTTTTGTTAACAATATTACTAAGCTTGCATTTTATATGTTTCATGTAGGGAATTGAAACTGGAAAGGAGCCTCACATTGTAGATTTTTTCAAGACCTCACATTGGAGTAAAAAAAAAAAAGATTGGATTGAACCAGTTTGTGCGGAGTTATATGTAAGTATACCTTCATTATATTTGTTATTCATAGTCCTATATAATGCTTAAATAGTTAGTGTACTTGTAAAATAGGATAACTGTTGATCCTTTTTTTTTTTCTTTTCTTTTCTTTTTTTAACACTAACAGGAAAAGATGGACCAACTTCGTGAGGAATCTTCACAGCCTGGAGCAACTCCGCTAACACAGGAGGAAATTATTGTTCAAGTCCTTGGGAAGCGTTCAGGGTATTTGAGAGGTTTCGGGGTTGGTCCAAAGCCGTCTTCTGCATTCAAGTCTACAACTAGGTCATCACAAGCACGTGATGAAGAGGTTAAGGGCCTTAAAGAAGAGGTAGCATCACTGAAAGGGATAATTCAATCATATGAAGGACGCTTTGAGCAGTTTGAACACTTTATGAGACAAATGCAGGGCAATGGTAGTGGATATGACTCTTTTGATGAGTAAGTAGTATTGTTTTTTATGGTTTGTGAATACTTCTGGGATTTGCTTCAATTTATCAGCTCATAGATCTGATTTTGACAGTTGATCTATGACTGTCGTGTTGGCATCCATTCATATGATGGTCTAATATTGATTTGATTGGTTTCATAGGTTAATTTCATTCGGATTCAGGTACATAGTTGGATGGTTGGGGGACATAGGTTGAGGTGCCTTATTTTCAGTACGTGACTTGGTATTAAATTATTGGATTTAGGTACATAGTTACATAGTTACATAGTTACATTTCTATGACTGTCTTGTTAGCTTGTTTGGTTCAAGAGGCTTTATCTTGTTAAAGGTTACTTTATGTAAAGGTAAAATTAAGAGGTACTATGTGTATAAAGGAGTAGGTGGTGTTTGCAGATGATGGTGTGTTTTTCTAATATTAGTTAATTGGTTTGTGTTGCTTTGGATTGCTGGTTTGTTTTTTTTTTCTCTGTTGGTTTCTCACTAACTATTGAAGCTTGTGTTGGGGAAAGACATGGCTGAGAATCCTGAATATCCACACACAAATAAATAAATACATTGTATCTCTCCTGAAAATTTGAGAAATTATAATTTACTCTCAATGTTTGGCAAAATTACACTATGTTTTCATAATATTTTGATTCACATTACAGTTGTCCCCACAATGTTGACTTAACAGAATATTCTACTTACAATCTATACATGGATAATAATTCTATTTACATAGTTAGGGATTGAACTAGTGATGGAGGAGATAATACACGAACTGTAAGGATGGTAATAATGTGGTGGTGTTGTGGTTTTTTTTTTGATGTGGTGAATTTATTATAAGGATGGATGGTTATTTTGGGCATGTAATATGTTGATATTGACAGGTGGTTGTAAATATATTAATTATTATTTTGACTTTATAATTGATGGTTTTTTTGATTTTTGATGTGGTGAATTTATTATAAGGATGGATGGTTATTTTGGGCATGTAATATGTTGATATTGACAGGTGGTTGTAAATATATTAATTATTATTTTGACTTTATAATTGATGGTTTTTTTGATTTTTGATGTGGTGAATTTATTATAAGGATGGATGGTTATTTTGGGCATGTAATATGTTGATATTGACAGGTGGTTGTAAATATATTAATTATTATTTTGACTTTATAATTGATGGTTTTTTTGATTTTTGATGTGGTGAATTTATTATAAGGATGGATGGTTATTTTGGGCATGTAATATGTTGATATTGACAGGTGGTTGTAAATATATTAATTACTATTTTGACTTTATAATTGATGGTTTTTTTTTTTTTTTAGATTGGATTGGTATATTAAAATTGATTGGATGGACATGAATTATGTATTAATTGCAAATGTATTATAGGTATTACAAAAAATTTAGCATTATATTTAAAAGAATCAATTTTGAAATTAAAAGTTTTTTTGCGACCAATATGTTTTTAGTCGCAAAAAGGTTCTAGGAATTGCTACATACACCCTTTCTGTGACCAACAAGATTCTGGTCGCCAAAAGTCCACTTTTCGCAACCAAGAACTTCGTCGCCAATGCTCACTTTCTGCGACTAGAATTATTCTGGTCGCCAAAAGTCCACTTTTCACGACCAATAACTTCGTCGCCAATGCTCACTTTCTGCGACTAGAATTATTCTGGTAGCTAAAAGTCTACTTTCTGCGACCAATATTTTCGTCGCAAATGGTTATCTTTCAGCGACCAAAATAGATGGTCGCAGAAAGTAGACTTTTAGCGACCAAATTCTTAGTCGCAATAGGATCAATTTTGACAAATTCAAGTCCCTTCCGCGACCAAAGAATGTTGTCGCAAATGATGATTTTCCGCGACCAACTTCACTTTTGGTCTCCAAAAACCTTCTGTGACGGACTTTTGGCGACCAAATTGCGACAAACTTTTTTTGGTCGCTAAAAACTATTAGCGACCAGATTTGACCTTTTTGCGACCAGAAATGTTGGTCACGAAAAGTGTTTTTTCCTGTAGTGGAAGGAAAACAAAGGATGTCGAGCTCAAGCACCCACCAAAATTATTATATAATTAAATACATATAATTTCTAGTTCGGTATTCAAAAAAAAAATTTTATTTCGACTTTTTAAAAGTGGGTTCAAATTATAAAGATACTAATTTTAAAACTATTTTCCATTAGTGGAAAGTTCACGGATAAAAGAAAGGAAGCTCATCTCAAATTCGTTCAACTCTTGCATATGATTCTGTCATTTCATGTCCAGTCGCTTGTTTAATTGTGTTCTTATTTTATTTTATTTTATTACAAAACTAATGAAAAATTTTTAAAGTCACCGATTGTTTCTCATTTTAGTCCAAAATAATTTTTGACAAATAAACAATGAGTTGTTTTTGGTAAAGTTTTTTTTGAGGTAATATTTTCTATCAGATTAATCATCTAATATATATTTATCAGAGTACGCAGCGGATAGCTTACACATATGACAAAATTCGAGGACGAAATTTTAAAATGAGGAAAGATTGTAACAACTTAGAGTTTTATTATTCTGTAAAATTTATACTAATATTATTTAATCATAGTTATAAAAATATACTATTTATTTTGTATTATTATATGTAATTTTGTAAAATAATATAATTAGTAAAAACAATTTAAAGTCAAAGTATAAATAAATAACTAGGTTAAACTTATCTTTTTGTGGGGATAAGCTTCAAATGTAGAGGCCGATGATAGCAGCTAAATATAGGGGCACGTGTTGTAGCTATGTGTCACTTAAACTTGCTAAGCAAGTATTGTACATTGTATAAAAGGAGCTGGGGCGTTGTGAACAAGGAGGAGGAGAAAACAATTAAAGAAAGAGAAAGAAAGTACTCGAAGTCAAGAAGGTCTTTTATGGTGGAAAGAAAGAGTAAGGTATTAATTTTAAGGTGAGTTATATTATGCTTTAAGTCACCATAATATATTTTACGTATGTTTTGACTTACCATATTTATTTTATACAAGTTACGTTTTATAAATTATTATAAATTATATTAATATTTCAATTACGTGGATTAATTTCTGAACTCTATTTGTTAAAATGAAACCCATGAATATGCTTGATTATATTTTAAAGAATATTTGACAATGACCTTATAAACAATTATGTTTTGTAAGTACGACCATAGAAGTCCTACACCTTGGAGGACTTAAATAACCATTGATCTCTGTTTGGTCACTTTGTGACCTTCTGTCTGTCATGGATCCATTGACCCTCTGATTTCTGGTGTGGAGTAAAATGCTGTACGGAGTTAAGTGCTACACTATTGTGGGAGCCACCTCTAGAGTTCGTACGAGCCACCTCTTGAGTCCATGCATCTGTTCTGTTCTGTTCTAATTGGAAAAAAAACTAGTAATTTATTTAATTACAGTTGGGAAAATATATGATTTATTTGTATTATTATGTGTAATTTATAAAACAATGTAATTATTACGAAATTTAGGGGCCAAAGTATAAGTAAAGAACTAATCTGCACTTATCCATTTGAGGAATAAGATTCCTAGCTTGATGATGCACCTAATGTAGAGAGGCCACCTGGTGTGGCAACGTGGCACCCAAACTTACTGAGCAAGTAGTGCACTTAGTATAAAAGGAGGAGTAGGGCTGTAAATGAAAGGAAGGAAAAAACAGAAGTAAGGAAAGAGGAAGAAATGCTAGAAGTAAAGAAGAAAGAGTGAGGTATTAATTTTAAGGTAAGTTATATTATATCTTGAGTCACCATAATATATTTTACGTATCTTTTGATTTACCATAATTTATTTTATACAAGTTACGTTTTATAAATTATTATAAATTATATTAATATTTCAATTATGTGGGTTATTTTCTGAACTCTATTTGTTTAAAATGAAACCCATGGATATGTTTGTTTAAATTTTAGTATATATTTGACTATGACCTTATAAATAATTATGTTTTGTAAGTACCACCACGGGAGTCCCACGCTTTGGGGGACTTAAATAACCATTGGCCTCTGTTGGGTCACTTTGTGGCCCTCTATTGTCATGGCTCTATTGACCTCTGTTCTGTGCGGAGATAAGTGCTACACCATTGTGAGAGCCACCTCTATAATCCGTACGAGCCACCTCTTGAATCCGTATCTCTGTTCTGACTGTCACTCTTGTGACCTCTGTTCCATTTTGTTCGGTACTGTGGTTATGGTTATTTATCTACATAATCTCAGTTTTGCTACCTAAATGATTATTTGTTCAGACAAAGTTATTTTAATTATTTTAGTTACATAACTAGCCATGGTTATTTTGTGTCCCTTATACTCTTGGCATAATATTTCTCACTCTGCCATGTGCTTATAGCTGTTTATCAATTTTTAGAAAACAGTGCAATTCAGAAATAACTTTTGGAAAGTCTTAGACGCGGGGCTGCGGAATAGACACACACAACACTTTATGATA